CAATATCTTGTGCCGGACCGGGGATTGTGCATGTGTGTGTAAATGAGAATGTGAGAAAAACATGAGCAAAGTAGTGAGGAGAAGAGTTAGGCACAGCAGGTGGTGAAGGAACATACATCAGAGAGCTGCTGCCAGGACCATCATACTAGAACTCTTCTTGGTGCACCCCTGTCTTTCTGCAGGTGCCACAGCCTAGAGGACTCCATCACAGAGCAAGCATAGGAGAACTGGCCTGGGCACCACCAACAGCAGGCACTACCCACAAAGGTGGGGCAGAAGAAAGTGGAGGAAAGGAAAAAGTTTCATTCCTTATTTTTGATTTAAGAACAGTGTTAACGTGTTTCCCCGGAAATATGACATGTCCTCATAATACAGCCATGCCACATTTTTCCTAGGTCATTGAATGCGCTGTGCCCCGCTGCAAAGGGGGTTTACCGGGTGGCTGCTCGTGAGCGTGGTCCCTTCATGGCTGTTGTGTTGCGCTGCTGCAACAGCGCAACACAGCCATTCACCCATGGGGCTGTGCCGGTCTCTTTGGGAGCCCGCTCACAAGAGAGCAGCCGCCTGGCAACCCCGAAACAATAAACCCTCCCACCATAATAAAGCCCAAGCTATATTTTGTAGGTAAAAAGAAAATAAGACCCTGTCGTATTTTCAGGGAAACACGGTAATGTAAGCCTATATATGAAGGAAAGATGATAATTGTGTAACTTACAACCTGTATTTGAGTTGGAATGTGTAGGGGTTCCTGGAGGCCTGAAGAAATATTTCAAGGTTCATCCAGTCTAAAATTGTGATAAAAGCTATATTAGACAGTCTAATAGCAAAGTTCCCCACCCCCATCCCGACAGCTGGGTGTACTTCTATGCAATACATTTTTTACACATCAGTGAAAAATAGTTTTACAGTTAGGGGCCTGTGGTTTGGTGGCATATGTTCAATGCAACAACTTCAGTAAAGCACATTGTTAAATGCATTGTGTGTCTTTAACTTTGGTTATAAATCATGAGTAGTGTCTTTAAAGAGCACAGCATCCAAACACTGCTTTCAAACATTTAAGATGTTAATGGGTTTTGAGGATTGGAACTGATCTTGTACAGCAGCAGCTTTTAATGCCAGGATGAAATGGACTATGTGTAAAAACATCTGCTGTGTTTTCTCTTGCATAGATATGATCAGAAGGACTTTACATCTGAAGGAGTTAGAAAAGGAATCTATAGTTTTTGAAACAACAGAGCAATAGAAACTGAGAGTCCATTTCAAAGTCAGGCTGGATGAATAGATGGTAAATAGCTTTTTTTGAAGATGTTAACCTGTCACATAAAACTCTTTTCCCCTTATAAGAAAGTGAGCATGGGAAGGAAGATTTATTTTTAAAGTGAGGGAAACATTTCTTGGGACTGACTATGTTTGATAGGTTGTTTTTAATTTCTAGACCCTCTTCTCATCTCTGCTTTGCTTATTGTCCCGGGTTACTGAGCATGACAAAATGCTGAACTGGAACAGATATAAAAAAATCAGTTCCATAGAGAGGTAGTGTAATGTAAGATTGTATTCTCCTATTCTTTTGCTAAATTTTGAGAGAGGTTTGTCAATCAACTGAAAGAATATTACTTTTTGTTACTTATCTGTGTCAGTGCACAGAATCATGTAGGCTCTGCTGTTATGTGTTTTCCCAAACTTACTGTATGAAATAGGTATCTCAAAGGATTTGGACATGAGTTTATTTATAGATCAGCCATTGTAATAGTTCTGAACATTTCAATTTTCCAAATTTGAGATATTTCTTACATCTTTTATTTAAATGAGACTTAATTATATGTCAGTGATTGTCAAAAGATTCAAACAAGAACCTTATTTGGAGATCCCAGTACCTGGGAGTTACGTATAAATCATATAGTCAAATTGAAATACAAACTTTTATGGTTATTTAATAGCTCAGTACATAAATCAGTAATAGTAAACATCAGGCAACTATGTAATAGTAAACATCAGGCAATTAAAAAACTGTGGAGGAGCAAAGTACCTCAAACTGCTTTAGTTTATTTTTCTCTCTGTTGATTTAAAATGTGAATAAAGTATAATAGTACAAAGAAATGGGCATCTGGAACAGCTGATCCAGAATAAAGTTCAGTAATCACTCAGTCTAATTTTAATTAGAACACCATATAAGCAAAAAAGTTACATATTTTTTCCATGTACCTATGCCATATTTTTATGGCCTTCAACAATTTCATCATATTAGAAAATTGCAGTCATTGGATACAGTTCCATGTTGTGCTAACTTAATACATACGTATACTGCTTAATTGTAGAGTTATAGAAATAGTACAGGATGTAGTCAACATATTACATACACTGAGCTAAAATCATGACTAGCTGATCAAATTATAATAATTTACTTCATACATTTATAGTAGTCTGCTTCATACAAAATAGTAAGCTATAAACTCCAGCTGACCAACCGCTATGGCTGGATTCACACATTGTTCTAGCAAATAAAATATCAAATTTTCTTTAGCAGAGAGTGAGGACAAGGGCTACAAGCAAGACTATGACCTATTAGTATTGTATTTAAGTTTGGTTTAAGTAAACCTATGTTATACGGCTATTATGCAGCTTCATGCCATGGGTCATTTCCCAGCACATGTCTTAGGTGTCTTTTCTTTTCTTTATCACTAGTAACAGTAATTGTGAACAGTCTGGTGTGTCCAAATTCAGGTTGAACAAAGTACTGTAGATATTTTAAATTCTAGATTTTCCATGTTATAAATGAAAATATTTCTTCCTTCTCTGGCAGGCGTTCAAAGGCAGAACTGATAGTGACCCATTTTAGTTAACAGGATTTTTTTTAAAACTAACCTCTATGCTATAATGTATTTTTTTCCATCTTTCATCTAATCTGGTTTAAAATTTTTATATACATCCTTTTAAAAATTGATTAGTTGGAGAGCTGCTTATTTTTTCTGTGCTGAATAATAAGAATGTTTATGGAGTCCTTAGTGCTCTCTGAGCTTGGCTGTTTGCTTCCAGATATTTCATTAGCCAACCAGGTAACAGCTTGATGATGTAACTTAGTCAAGTAATGAAACATCTGGAAGCAAACAAGTTTAGAGAGTATCAAGGATTTCACAATTCAACCCTGAACTACATACATTCTCTGCTATTGGAAGAATGTTTATATATAAAAAAGAAAAAAAGTATTGGACACCAGATTTGGTATGTAGTAATTTAAAATGACCCAGATTTGGAATTGGCGAACACTAGGATTTAGCCAGACTTGCCATGAGCTGATTTTAGACTGCAGATGGGAACTAATGAAGATGCACTGCACTCCAGAATTCCCCAGCTGCGTGGCTCTCTTTAGTCAAACAGGATTTGGAGTAAAATCCAAAGAGAATGGTCCCTAAATGTACCGAGCCCAGGATTTTGGAAAGTTGGCAACCTTGGCAGTCCATTGCAGAGCCTTTTTAAGACCTTGTTGCCCAAAGGCTTTCTGGACACAATGAAATGTTAATGCAGTCACATTATAAACAAGCTTTCTCCTTTCCCTCCAATGCTGGAAAATATTACCTGCTTCAAGTTTTGCTTTGATTCCATATTTTCCTTTCTGTTGTCATAGAACAGAATTCTATTTTATTGGACAGGACACATAAATGTCAGAATGTAGGATTTTTGTTTGTTTGTTTCTGAACCTATATGTTTGTTTGTTTGTTTGTTTTATTTGTCTTGTATGCAGCCTACTCCCGAAGGACTCTGGGCGGCTTACAATAAAAAGGGGAAAGGGATAAATAAGACAGTACAAAAATTAAAATGCGACAACATTCACAATTTAAAGTGGGGCTGGATACATNATTCTACATGCATGTATTATCCGTAATTGTCTCAGAGATTAATTCCAGAAATTTACTTTGATGTATGTAATCTGTTGTGATGGCCAAATATGAGAAACTCTGGCTGCAGCAGTTTCTACAAATAAAAATTCCAAAATCTAGTTTTGTTTTTGGATGATTCCCTTAAATTTTAGGAATTTTAGTTTATTGATTTGGGTATAGTACAAATTATTTAAATAAATTAAATCCTTTAACCAAGAGGAATTGAAATTGAAAATTAGAAGAAATTCAAATGAAATGACTTTACCAAAAGTGGCATTTTGTGTAAGTTGCCTTTTTATAGTCCAGTTACAGCACCATACGGTATTTTAAATATCATTTATTTATTTCATATGTATGTATGAATGTACAGTGCTCCAACAGTGATGAAACTTTACACAGATTGAACTAAAGATTGATTGATTGAATCTTTCAGTTTTTTTCTATATGTTTATCTTTTAAGGCATTTCACTAGATAATATTTAATCAAAGTTGGGAGTATATTTAGTATCGTTTCTTCCCTGATTTTAATCTGCTGTGAAGGTTGTGTTTGCAAATAATAAAGAGTTACTAGGCTAGGGAATAACCTTGTGGGAAATGGGACATCAGTTGTTACAAATTAAACAGTCTATCTTGTCTCCTCATAATATATTTATTTTTTACATAACTTTTACATAATTGTCTGCTTGAATGCAACATACAACATTTTATATAGGTTCTCATCTTCTGCATAAGCATACATTGTTAAGTGTGTTGTCCAAGTCCAAGTAATTTATTGGTAATATATTATAAGATGTTTTATGAACATTCAGGTTTTTTTCTACTTTCAAAATAAAGCCTGGTTGCTTTCATCAGTAAATGAATATTTTAATTTTGTCTACAAGTATGAAAACTGCAAAGCCATGTCTCCCACTGGCACACGACTTTAAAGCCATCTCTTAATTTAGAATCTCATGGGGAAAAAACACTAGATTGAAATCAGAATTGCCATTGCAAGCATACCTGTCAAGGCTGTCAATTTTTATTGTCATTATCATTATTTAGTCTTTATGCCAAAAAAAAAAAGAATTAAATTATACTTGATGACAAATGTTCTTAAACAAATGACTCAAACGTTCCTCTTTTCAGCAATTGCCTGTAGTAACGTCTAGTACAATTGTGAGATGTCGTAGCTGTAGAACGTATATCAATCCTTTTGTCAGCTTCCTTGATCAAAGGAGATGGAAATGCAACTTGTGCTACAGAGTGAATGATGGTGAGTTTTTTTTATGAGTTTAAATCCAATAAAGAATCAGTTGACTTCATGTTAAGTTCTTAAGTGTACACATGTATACATACAAATAAGCTGTTTGATTCCAGTAAAATACATTTATGACATCAATCTCTAGCTGCATTTTAGGTAATTGAACATATTATGGGAATAAATATTTCTTTAAAAGACTACCAGGCTGAAAAATATTATATAAAATACTGTAAACCTTGAGAGTTACACTGGTTTATAAAGTGTATTTTCCTCCTATAGTTCCTGAAGAGTTTATGTATAATCCTGTCACAAGAGTTTATGGAGAACCTCATAAAAGACCTGAAGTTCAAAATGCCACTATTGAGTTTATGGCTCCTTCTGAATATATGGTGAGATTCTGCCTCCCCACCTTTCTTTCTCTTCCCCCCANTTAGTTGGATCTTTCTGAATCAAGTATGTTTTTCCAGTTGTCAACCATTCATCAATTTGGCCCTTTTGTAAAATATTATTATTATTATTATTATTATTATTATTATTATTATTATTATTATTATTATTATTATTATTATTATTATTTAACTTTTGGAGAAAAACATGTTTTTTTTTCCTTATAGAAGGGTGTGTGTGTGTATGTATTCTATATGCTCTTCATTTATTCTTTAATAATATTTTGCTTTTAATCCTATGATAAAATTATCATAAGGGTATAAAAATAAAACAAATTATACAAATGTTAGGAAAAGAAAGAAATGTTAATTAGCAAAACTTTGATAAAACAATACAACTTTTTACTAAACATTAAAGGCCTATAATGAGAAATTTTAATTGTATTAAGTCTGGATTGGGTCTCATAAAAGGCAAATAAATAAATAAAATGTAAAATTATAGTTAGAATATATAACTAATGAGTTTTTTTATTAGTAATTTATTTTACTAATTCTGGAAATTATATAGGTAATTAGTAACATCATGTCTTAACAAATGAAACTTCACTACCACCATCCTGCATTTCTGCTTCATTTTTTAATGTTTGAATATTATCAATCACTGCAGTTGTATTTATCTAAAAACTAGATAAGGTACTAGATGTAACATTCATTTCCTATGCAAGATTTATTTACTTAAATTGTATACAACTTAGTAATTGAAGTATTGGTCATCTTACCAATTTAGGGTGTGGTCAGTGTGGAAATATATTCAAATTTGTTTTTTTTCCACAAAAAAACAAATTTGACAAGTTTCTCAACTTTTCTCATGACAAGTTTTTTTACATGTAATTTTGTGTTTCTTTTGCCTCATCTTTTAGGAAATTTGAGAGCTTAACATCTCTGCTGCTTCCTGCTTTTGCTGCGACAATTTCTTCTTGTATTTTCAAACAGAGCTCAGCCTTGCATCCCATCCCATCCTGTTGATTTCTCTTTGGTTACATGGTAAGCACTGTATTTGCTGTGTGCATAGGCTGAATAGTATCCCTTTTCATCATCATCATTTTATAATCCTCATAACAGAAATATTGAGCACTGAAATAAATATTGTATGCTGATCCAGAAACAGTCAGTCTTTCCTAACGATAGGGGAAAGGTGAACATACTGAATTAGCTCTCAGAGTTAAGCTTTTGCATAACTTTGTATATAAATAAAATGCGAATTAAAATATGTAACCAAATTAAATCCATCAAATCTAATAAAAGAAGCAAAGAGAAGCAAAGAAATCTTGGACCATAAATCCCATTAACCAGGCCAAAGAGAAAATGCGTTAAGAGGAAGCTGCACTGTATCTTTTTGCATTGTCTGTTGGAATAATCTTCTTTACCCATTAAGTGGAGTGTTTAAAAATCTTAGTATTTCTGAAACAAAAAGAATACACAGCCACTGAGCTAGCGGGTTTTTATACCTTCTTTTTCTGAGTATTGTCCCTTACTACAATACAGAGCCATTTCTTTGTTCTCAGAAGCAAGCAGTTAAATTGTATGTAAATGTATGCAAATTAGATGCTGTCTAATAAAGAGAGGCATTAAATGGAAAAATATTTAGTTTGGCAAAAGAAGAGAAAAGAGAGGAAAAGAAAGCAGGTGTATTTTGGAAGAAATAAATGTATGAATTGCTAAAAGCCTTCCAACTTTAGATGGAGATTTCTAAAAAAGACTATTTAAAATTCTTGAAGGAGGTTTATTCTTTTGTTCTTTCATTCTCTGCCAACATTGTATATGTATATGAAATTACATACATATACTGGTTATATAAATTTGACACCTTTGACATGCTGCACTTAATATCTTTTTATATGTCTATCGTTCAGCTATTATATCTTTTCATACCTATAAACATGATGGCCTAAATAAATGGGACAGAATTTTCATACAGCTCAGTAAAAACAATTTTGTTAACATAAATTATATAATAATTAAATGCATCCATTGTGACTATTAATATATATTACTAATAATAGCAGAATGATTATACATTATGGTTAAATACAACATAAAATTCTCTCTCCCCCCCTCTCTCTTTCCCCCTCTCCCCATCCCTCCTTCTCTCTCTTTCTCCCCTTCTCCACTCACCTCTCTCTCTCTTATATTTATCAAATTTATATGGCCACCCATTTCACAAAACAAACAACAAAACTAAAATAATGAGGAAACACTAATACACAAGGATCTTTTTCTCTCTCTTTCATACCACAATAACATAACAAACAAAATCATAAAATATAATATACTATGTGCCAGTAGTTAAATAATAATCTCCTATAGCCTCCTCCATGTTAAAAATAGTGACATGAAGTAGAAAGCTCTCTGAAGCAATTTTGTCTTGATGACCTGAATAAAAATTTCAGAGAATCATCTGAATTTGTAGATTTAAGCTATTCTACAAGAATGGAACACATATCAACTCAGTATAGACAGTAGTACTGAAGTTTCAGTAAAAGGAAGAATCATCTCTTTTTGCAGCCCAAACCAAAATCTATACTGATTATTATTATTATTATTTTATTAAATGTATTTGCAGTCTGTCTCCCAAAAAGTCTGGCATCCTTATTCCAGTTAGGGTCAACATATCTAATTTCAATTTTTGGAAAAGTTATGGGCTCTTAACATTTCCTAAATTTCTTATCAATATTCTATTTTCTTTATTGTGACAGAAGAGGGAAATATTGAAATATATGATTAGAAAATAGTTCCCTTTACATTTGTAATATGCATCTAGCAATAGCATTAGCATTAGGATATGTGTGTTTGTGTGTGTGTGTGTGTGTATGTATATATGTTTATGTATATATCTCCCTCATAATAATTTACATTACCCTCTGGGCAGTTTACAGTGTCATTATATGGCCCCTGGGCCCTCATTTGCAAGGATGGAAGGCTGAGTCAACCCTGAGCTCTGTCAGGATCAAACTCAGGCTATGCGCAGAGTTGGCCTGCAATACTGCATTCTAACCACTTGTGCACTGGGGCTCCTCATTTATTATTTATGTACGTGACCTGTCTGACAAATAATAAATTTGGTTTTTAGTCAAAGAAAAACTAAGAATTGTAACTAGAATTTGTAGAAATGCGAGTTTCCTTTCAGTGTAAGCCAATGATGCAATGTTACTTATTTTATGGCATGTTGCAACATAACCATTGTTGAATAATTGCAAAAAGGTAAAGAGAAACCTTCTGTGCTCTCTATTAGCTTCAGCCTTTCTAAGGAACTATTGTAGAAAACAGTGACGTGCAGTGAGGTTTATGGCTGGTGAGGCACTGACACAATTTTTTTTAGACTTGTGGATTTCAACTCCCAGAATTCCACAGCCAGGCATGCTCAGTTCCGATTTGAAGCAACAGCATTTGATTTTCTCCTTTGCGAAATAAGTTTCCTTCTTTTTTTTCTTTTTATTCTTCCTTCCCCTCCTTCCTCCCTCTTTCCCTCCCTCCCCCCTCTCAAACACACACACACACACACACACACACACACACACACACACACAAGTTGGATTGGAGGGAGTCAGGGAAACCACAAGAGGAGGCAGGAAGCCAGTCAAAGAGCCATACTGGAGCACACACACTTTCCCCCAGCCCCGGAAGGATCCAGCCCAGCTTCACTGATTACAGGTTTGAAAAGACAACGTGGCTCTGCCTGCAATCAAACTATACTTGGGGAGGGAGAGAACTTCCATCCAGCCTTTGCCCAAGGCCCGCACCAGGAGGATGAAGTTTGAATTCCTCGCCTTCTCTCTGACCCAAACGTAGCTTTTCCAGCTGTTTCAGAGAGGATTTTAACTCTTGCCTGTCATCATGAAAAGAAAAAAAAGTAAAAGGAAAAAGGTGAGAGCTGAGGTCAGGCTGAGCTAGTTGCTGCCAGAGTCACCGTAGATAACTCTGCTTAACTGTTTAAAAAAGCCTCTAAAAAGCGCCCTCTACAGGAGGAGGCAGGAGAACACGTGCCTCACCTACATCTGGAATTTTTAACCCTTGCTTAACTCTGCTCGAGTGATCATAAAATGTCTAAAGTCAGACTAGATGAAGCACATCGTTCTCCTGCCTCCTCCTGTAGAGGGCACTTTTTAGAGGTTTTTTAAAACAGTTAAGCACTAAGCAGAGTCATCCACAGTGACTCTGGCAGCAACTAGCTCAGCCTGACCTCAGCTCTTGCCTTTTTCCTTTTACATTTTCTTTTCTTTTCATGATGACAGTGGTGAGGCTCTGCCTCCCCTGCCTCACCTGACTGCACATCATTGGTAGAAAATGATACAATACATAAAGTATAATATCTGCATTTTCAAAAATTCAGGCAGTACCAGTTTTGTGCTTCAAAATTTGGAAAGCTTATATAATCAGTAATAAACTTTCTTTGGTTCCAAATCCATAATTTGAATATAGCTATTTTCTCACACTTTAGTTTTCATACTCATATATTACTGTTGTTAATTTGACTAACTATTCTGATCTGGAAATGTCTTCAAAATAAAGTTATTCTTCTTGAACTTGTTTAAGTTTGTCATTGCATCCCTCCTCAGGATTAATTTCCTGTTTGCTTCTTCATTACCCTGCTCATGTTTATTTTTCAGCACTACTCCAACCAAACGACATAGCCATCGATCACAATCTCCAGCTCTGTTTATGAAAGTTAAATCCTCTTCTTTTGTAATTAGAGTATTTTCGTATATAGAGTTCTCATTGTCTTGCAGTCAAACTCCCACTGAATATTTCAGTAATGTGTGTACACTTTTTTTTCTACCAGTAGTTAGGCATTACTTCTTTATTTGATTTTGGAGATCTTTCTCCTAAGCAAGTTGACTTTCTCTTCTTCAAATCTGCACAGTGAGTTTATCATCACCCTAATACAGATTATCCTTAGCTCCACTGTTCCTTTTATTAACAAAGGTGAATTTATTTGGAATTTC